TAAGAGCTCCCAATTTCTACGACCCCCCCTCCTGTGATCCATGGTCTCCAAGATGGCCCAAGGAGGCGCTCCATAGCTCCCAAGAGCCCCAAGAGAGCCCCAAGAGAGCCCCAAGAGAGCCCCAAGAGAGCCCCATGAGGGCCCCAAGGCGCCCCAAAAGAGCCCCATGAAGACCCCAAGACCCCCCAAAGAGCCAAAAGAGGGCCCCAAGATGCCCCAAGAGAGCTCCAAGAGGACCCCAACGTCCCCCAATACAGCCCCGTAGCTCCAAGAAGGCCTGCGATGCTACAAGATAGTGTCTGTTCGTCCGATTTCCCGTCCGCTCTCATGGGCAGGGCTTCTGAATGGACTGGTGGGGACTCGCGAAGCGTAAACAATTGCAAGATTTACACTGGCTGAGGGCGGGCCGTTGTCAAAATGTGGCTCTCGTCTTAGCGCCGCGAACATTCGTCTTAAACATTGCAAGGGCTTCACATATTGAAGACGGGCAATTGTCAAAATGTGGTTGTCGCCTTAGCGCCGCGCGCATTCGCTTGTTTTTTTCATGGCGAGACTTTCACGGCTATGAGGCGGGCCGCTGTCAAAATGTAGTTCTAACCTTAGCGCCGCGCAAATTCGTCTTAAAGATGTGCGCACATTCGTTTTAGAAAATCCCACCAGCCCTCTGGGCGACAGGTGGTCTAAGGGGGGTCTCTTTCCTCTTCCACAACCCCTCTTCCCTTCGGAGTGGGGAACCCTCCCCCTCCCCTCCCTGAGTTTTTTTTTTCTCGGAGGGGGACCGATGTGTCAGAGGAACCTTTTTTTCGGCCAGTGGGAGGGCCAACTTTTGACACCACTCACGAGGATCGTGGTCCCACCGGGGGGGAACGAACATCGAGGACCCCCGCTCTTTTGAACGACCGCTTTCAAGTTGGCACCCAGAGGCCATCCAGGGCTCCCAAGAGGCCCCCAAAAGAGCTCCAAGAGCGCCCCAAGAAGCCCCAAGAGGCCTCCAAGAGGCACCCGAGAGGAACCAAAGAGGCCTCCGAGCGGCCTCAGAGAGCCCAGGATGACCTCCAAAATGGCTCAAGATAGCCCAAGCTGGCTCACGATGGTTCCCAAGATGCTCCAAGAGGCCCCAAACCGTTCCGAGACGGCTCGGGATGGCCACGGAGCCTCCCCGGGAGGTCCTCGTCTTGCACATATTGCCCCCTCCCTCCCCCTCCTCCTCCTCCTACTCCTCCTCATCCTCCTCCTATACTCCTCATATTCGCCCCCCCCCGCGGGCCCGGAGATGGCCCCAACACGCCGTCCAGGCCGGCCTCCCTCGCTGTTTGAATATGCGTGTCTCTTCCTCTCTCCCCCCGTCAGCTTTCATGGGCATCGTTTCTGGATGGGCTGTTGGGGATTTTTTTACAGCCGCAGGCGGAAGCGCCAGCGGCGGAAGGTCGCGAACGGGCCGCGGACGCGACTAAATTACCTAACGCGCGCAGGGCCGCGGATCAGGCGGCTCACGACAGCGTCCAGGGAGGCAAAGACGATGCAATCCAGGTGCCATGACAGCCCCTGAACGGGCATGCAGGTGCGTCCAACAGGCCTGAGGTAGGCACCGAGACCACCTAGCGCAGCCAAAATGGCGCGAAAACGTTCCAACGTCCAAAGGCGGACAAGGGAACGACCGAGGAAGCCAGCCCCAGCCTGTCGGGTAGCACAGAGGTCGGGGTGGTAAGTCCAACGAGGATCCCAACGGCGGCAGCGAGCCGCGGCGTCAGCGACATCAAGGTGTATCCATGATCCGAGAAGACTACCACACAAAGACGTATCGGCCCAGACCCAACGGGTAAAGGGCACCTGATGCACGCTCCCGTCGAAACGCGGCGTGTGCACAACTGTTGGGGATTTGAGAAGCGTCAAGAATAAAATGTAGTGAGAACGCATCAGAGCTCGAATCCTTCCCGCGGTTGTTTAGGACTCTAGTCCCACCGCCACCCAAAGGACAACGCGAACGCTCCAAAGTAATTTTGACTCGCGAAGAGTCTCCAGGTCACCTAAGCTCGCGAATAGCAGCCCACGATGACGATTCGCGACCCGCGGTCACCTTCGCGCCCTGACGAGGCCACCCTGGAGAGGTGCAGCTCTCATGACGAGGCCGCGACGTGCGAAACACGATTCTCTTCGCGCACCTGGGGGTGACCTACACATGTTCAGCCGTTTCAACTCCCAAGCATCCCAGCGATGAAAACGGACTATGAGGACAACGCAAAGCTCTAGAAAAAGGTCGACTCGCGAAAAAACTTCAGCCCTTTCCAATCCCGAGGCCAAGTTACGCTTAAGCACTATGCGCAGCAAGCTGCACGCGTAGCTCAGCCTGCTCTTCGCCAGCCGCCCCTGCGCGACGTGTGTGTGTGTGTGTGTGTGTGTGTGAGGGGCTGAGGGCCAGGCTTGTGGCACTTCTGGGGGAACCAACAACTTCACAAGCATAAACTTCTGGAGGTCCGCTCCGATTGCTTAGATCTGCGCTGGCGCCGTCCCCTGGCGCGCCAGGGGCTGCGCCGGAGGGCGCCGCCAGGGCGTTCCGACAAGGATCCAAAAACTCCGCGCGGGGCTCCGACAGTGTACGTTTATAGTCGAGGCGGATTGGAGAGGACACGCAAGAGGACACATCACCCCTATATCAAGTCCTGAGACACGCAAGAGGATTGTACCATTTCGGGCGTGCCGCATATTAAGTCATCGCGGCAAACACTGGCTTGCCAGTGGCCTGTCTCAGATAGTCTTCCGATCGTACCGAGCCGTGCCGACTGAGACCTCGTCGCCAGTGAATTATTGATCGAGTGGCTGAATGATCCCTACTCTTGTCTTTCAAGAGGAGCTCTGGCGCGCTAAAGGAGGAGTGGTAGGCAAATGGCCCTGGCATCGAATCCACGAGTCGAATCGGATCGATCTGGATCGGTCCAGCAGAAGAACCGACTCGATCAGTGAGCCAAACACGTTACGTCAATAAATCAAATCCGACCGAATCGACAAGACGAACTCGACCGACATCGAATGCGCTCTGGAGGTCGGAGTACGATGGATTATTCAGTCAAACCCGACCGACGGTTAAAACTCAAATCAATGGGTCTATCTGGAGAGGGAAGCAGGCCCAGGAAGTCTTCTCGCCGTGTTCTGGCTACCATAGCCCCTAAGAAAACATATCCTCCATGAGAATTCCTATCCCCCTCCCATCCTCTCGGCGGCTGCTCAAGGTGCCCCTGTCCCAGGGTGCCCCCCAGCTTTTCGCTTCGTTCTGGAGCCACTGAGGTCCCCTGGGCCTCGTGAGGGGTTCTCTGGAGGCCGTTGGGGTCAAGGGCTCTTCTAGCAACACCCGATCCTCTGCACCCCCCCCGAGGACTGGCCCTTCATCACGAGACCTTCTCCTCACGGTCCCAGGGTCCTGGTGAGGATCCTTCGAGGCAAGACGCAGCGAACAGCTAATCATACCTTCCGTCGCGCTTGTCTATCACAACGCGAGGAGGGGGAAGCCCCCCCCCTCTCCCCGTCCTCATCGTTCATCATATTTCACCCTCACCGTCACCATCGTCACCATCATCTACGTATCATTCCTCCTGACCGCCCTCATCAACAGCATCATGCCTCATCAGCATCAGCATCAGCATCAGCATCAGCATCAGCATCAGCATCATCATCGTCATCATCAGCGTCATCATCACCAGCAACATCATCATCAGCATCAGCATCATCATCATCATCATCATCATCATCATCATCATCAGCAGCATAATCGTTATCATCAGCAGCAGCATCAGCATCAACTGAATCATCAGCATCAGCATCATCAACATCATCAGCAACAGCACCAGCATCATCAGCATCATCGCCAACATCGTCAACATAGCATAACCATCATCATCATAATCAGCATCAGTATCATCATCAGCATGATCATCTGCATCATCAAAATCAGCAGCATACTCGGTATCATCATCAGCATCAGTAGCATCATCATCATCATCATCATCATCATCATCATCATAATCACATCATCATCATCATCATCGTCATCATCATCTTCATCCTGATCAGCATAATCATCCCACCATCATCATCAGCAGCATCGTCATCGTCATCGCCATCGTCATTATCAGCAGCATAATCAGCATCAGCATCATCATAAGCAGCATCAGCAGCATCATCATCATCAACATCATCGTCAGCATCATCATCATCGTCAGCATCATCATCATCATCATCATCATCATCATCATCATCATCATCATCATCATCATCATCCTGATCAGCATCATCATCATCATTATCATCATCAT